ACCTTATCACCCACAATCCAATGAGGCAGCTGAGATGTCAGTTAGAGTTGTGAAAGAAGCTTCATTGAAACAAGTTCTTCAATGTACAAAGGGTGTGTCTATGAAACATAGACTAGCAAATTTTCTGTTACGGTATCGTACTACACATTATAGTACGACAGGTGTATCACCAGCAGAGTTGATGGTGAAGCGGCGTTTAAGAACCAGGTTAAGTTTGATAAAACCTGATATTGCACAATTTGTAGAGAGTAAACAAGAGAAACAAAAGCAGTATAAGGATCTGAAATGTAAACGTGATAGATCTTTTGTTAAGTATGACACGTGTACGTGTTTGAAATACTAGAGGTAATTCTAAAATAGATAAGTGGATTCCAGGTACTGTAAATAAAATTTGTGGACCACGAAGTTATATAGTTAGAACATGTCATATAACTAGATATGTTCATACAGATCATTTAATTAATTAAAGCACATGATTGTGTGAAAGGTGATATTGACGAGCAAGATGTCAGTGTACCTGAGTTGCATGATTTTTCTGTCAATGAAAATGTAAATCTTCCTAATGAAAATGTTTCTGTTAATCAGCCTAATGAGAATGTAATTAATCAGAATGTTAAACCTACGGCTTCTTCTGAATGTGTGATAACTTCACCAGTTTTGAGGAGATCTCAAAGAGTAAGGAAACCTGTAGTCAGACTAGATCTGTGAGTTTATTGTTACTGTTCATTTTTGAAGCAATTGTTACAAACTTATGTGAGTTGTTTCTTAACAGATTATATTCCCATTTGAGTCTGATTACGTCATTGCTCTAATTACTCAGAGTTCAATGCTAATAAACAGTAAGGGTGTTCCACCATTTTGAATAGTACGGTATATTTGATTTGACTTGAACTCACGCAGTGAATCAATGCATAAATGCATAAATTATGGTTAACTTACGAAACCACATATACACTAGTTCAAAATAACAGTAAAATACTAGTATACCTATCTGTGTCACATCACACATTATATGAACACGGCAAAAATACGACACCCTTATTTCCCGAAAACGTCAAAAAAGTACGTACTATTTCAAAATCAGTGAAAACGGAGGTGCCAAGAAAATGGAGGGGGAGGAGTGGCACAGCGCATCGCCGATAAATTAAAATTTTCTTGGTACAGTGTCAGTGTACAGTGTGTACGATTTCAGTGAAAATAGCCATAATGCGACGTATGTGAAACAAATACATACTACGTGACTGTGTAGAAGAGATGGGGGCACAAACTGATTTTTTTTCTTCGAAACCAGTGCTGTAAGCGTATACCGAAACTCGGACAAAACATGACCGGCTGACATATGGATATGGATTTCTAGTACTTGGAGCAAATACAGATATAAAAGGTTGTATTTATATGCCTGTTTTTTTGTTTGTTTGTTTTTTGTTTTTGTTTTTTGCAATATCTTTTTGTGGATATTCCTTGCTTTGCATTTTGTCTGTGGGTTTGTGATGTATGCCTAGCTAGTCGACAACAATCTATGTACTTGTACGACATATTATTATTTTGGGCAAATATTTTGTAAATATTGCGCATATAAAACCCATTTTCACTGATTACAGTTTCATTTGCATTATCTGTGTTATCGTTATCATTTAGTTTCGTTTCTTCGACTACAATATAGCCTTCTTGTACCCACAAGTCAATTCTCTTGTCTTGTCTTGTGTCTTGTATTCACACTGGCAGTCAATTCGTCCCACAAGTCGATTCGTCCCAATTCACATTCGTTCCACGAGTCTTTTCGTTCCAATTAACTCACATTCGTCCCATTAACTTGTGGGACGAATCGACTTGGGACGAATGTGATTTTTGGGGGGTCGAATCGACCGTCCCCCATTGTGGAGAGTCCATCATACTCAACAACAGCTGTCAATTTTACTAAGAAAATTGTACTTCATTTTAATATGTTAAAATTAAAGTTTCAAACATGTATTCAAACATGCAATCACGATGGTACAAATGGGGTTTGTACTACTAGTACTATTATATATATTTTTACTCTGGTGAAACCTTGGAAGGACGTATTTTGTATTCATCATGGCGGCATCCAGCGCTGCACAGGCAGCAAAAGAGATCATTCGACGAGTTTGTATTCCAACTACATTCAACGGTTTACTTAGAAAGGTATGTAGTCTTCAGTTCTAATATGATTTGTCAGTCGCATCAAGACTGTACCGTGTAAAGCACGGTGTCAAATTTAATAACAATTATAATGACGGAAGTTATCAGTTTGTATACACATTGCTAAAGTCATGTTTTCTATGTTATCAACAATACACTCGACATTCATGTCAACATACTGGCACACTTTATGTTACAAGGAAATAATGTCATTTGATAACCATGTTGAAAGTCAACGCCAGTGTTAGCGTTTCTTTGTGACTCGGAAGTGCATTAACCTCTGCACTATATGCAGCCAATGACGTATATAGGTTCTTGTAGGTTAATAGTTTAATATTGTA